ACAACAGCCCCTTGAGATTCCAAAGGGGTGAGCGGCTCTCAGCCCCGAGAGCCCCAGCCTGGGCCTTCCTTTTCTGGGTCCCTGGTGTTTCTGGAAGGTGGTGTGTTGGGAGCCTATGCTCAGAGGTTAACAGCACCCTCGTACATACACAGCAGTCTCCTTCTCAGGGCTTCTTCTCAGGGCGGGACAGGGCGGGGCGGGGCGGGGGTCCTGTCACACCCTCCTTCCCGCCTGTCCTTGCCTGCCTGTCCAGTTACCACTGACACTCGGGAAACTGAGCCTCCATTGTTAACCTGTAAAATGTATCAAAACGCTTCCTCACAGGGTAGTGAGGAACCAGATGAGGTAAGGGTGAGGAGTACTTGGTACTGACCACCCCTCTTGTGAGGAGCAGGGTAAAGACCCGTGAGCAGCTCGGCACCCAGCCCAGAGTCATGGTTAAGGAGTCCAGAGTGGAAACTGGCCACCCACACCCAAATCTTTTTTTTTGTTTGTTTTGTTTTGTTTTGTTTTGTTTTGTTTTGTTTTGTTTTGTTTTGTTTTGTTTTGTTGAGACAGAGTCTCTCTGTGAGGCCCTGGCCGTCCTGGAACTGGCTCTGTAGACCAGGCTGGCCTTGAACTCAGAGATCTGCCTGCCTCTGCCCACCAAGTGCTGGGATTAAAAGCGTGAGCCTTTAATGAACACCCGGCCCCACATTCAAATCTTGCTGCACCTGGCATGATGAACCCGTAAGCTGGGATAAAGTTCCCTGCCATGTGGGTTGCCACGAGGAGAAATTGAGATCACAACTGGGGGTTGGACACCAGTAGACTGGACGGCCCCTCTGGGCGAGGGGAGAGCGGGGATGTCTGCTCTCCAGACACTGCCTGAGTCTGCTGCTCCTCAACAGACCCTCTCCCTTGTCCCTCAGCTTTGCTTCAGCAGCGAGGGAGGCAGCAGGAACGGGAAGGAGAAGCTGCAGACCCAGGCTGGGAGGCCAGATCCCCCAGCCCTCCCCAACACAGCAGTGAAAAACCGCTGGACCCAAGCTGTCTGCCCCACAGGCCTCCATGGAACACCAAGCAATGGGGGTGGGGTGAGGGGACCACACACACACACACACACACACACACGCGCGCGCGCGCGCGCGCACACACACACACACACACACACACACACACACACACACACACACACACACACACACACACACCCCTCACCTCATCTTCGTGCAAGTGAGGGTGCAGACTGCAAGTGCCAGCTCGGGCCAGCAGGGGGCAGACTCACCCACCAAATCCATACTCATCGCTTCCTCCCTGGGATTGGGCTCTGGAGCCAGGCAGAGGTGAGGCTGCTCAAGAACACAAAGAAGGTGTTTCAGGCTCAGGTTCCTGAGGCCGCCAAGGAGTAGCCCCTCACCAGCCCACTCACCTCCCTACCCAGGAGGAGGCGCAGAAGGCAACAGGGCCTCCGTGCAGCTTTCAGACAACTCTGGTTTGCATTCTCCTCTAACGGACCCCAAGGGGCACGTGACAGGGTGAGCAGGGGGCCTGCAGGAGACAGACCTTCAGCACGGGTGGGGCGTCTAGGCCGAGGGAGTTACCGCCCCGCAGCGCCCTGCGGTTGAGCAAGGATCCAACAACTGGGGCTTTGGGCTGGCAAGTTGCTGTGGTTGGGCTGTATTGCCAGCAGGGGGCGCTGTGCACCTGCGTGTGATCGTCCATGAACTGACAAAGAGCTGTGCTCAGCACACACACACACACACACACACACACACACACACACACACATCCTGTACATCTCTGGGGCTCCTGGCTGTGGCTCTGACCTTCAGCTGTGCTCAGGGAGGCTACGTCTCCCCTGTGAGTTCCCCTTCCCTCAGCATGGGCATGCTCACTCCAGGTGTGTATGCAGAGCCACAGGCATGGCACCCCCACCCCCACCCCGGCCACTGCTCACTCTGGAAGAGCCAGGCTCCGTGTGTTCTGCAGCACACCTGCGTGAAGTCACACCCAAGCACATACATGCTCTGTCAGCTCTCTGACACACTTCTCTGCCTGAAGAGGGAACGTAACAAGAGCCCGTATTCTCCACTTGAAGGCGCTCCCTCTTCAGCCATCTATTCCTCCCTCTGGAAGCTGCCAGTTCCCATGGGGGTGGATGGACAGGTGCTGTGATAGATGGAGTACTAGAGCTGAAAGTGGACCGTGGTGGAAGAGGGGGGCTGTCTAGGTGGATGGGCAGGAGGAAGAGTTTGGGGGAGGATCTGATCTCAGCTCCTCTCAGCTCAGGCCCCTCCTCCGTCAAGAGTGAACATCTATGTGACCTCGCAGCCTGCCAGTGTTCCGTCAGAGTCAGGGAGGTGACGTGGAAGCTGTCCTGAGCACCTTCCTTTCGATCATGCTTCAGTTCTCTCTCGCTGGCCTCGCCTCCCCAGGCCCGAGAAGGCTTCAGTGGGAGCATCCGTCCGGAAGGAGTGGCAGGCAGCCAGGTCTGGGGCTGGGACACAAGGCTTCTGAGCATGAGTGAGCGCACAGATTGGCACTACAGTCCAGGACTGTGTGGGCCCGGGAAGGTGCTGGCTGGGGCAGGAAAAACAGGAACTGGGCAATGCCTGCCTGCCCGCAGGGGGTGAAAGACCTTGTTCCAGGCTGAGCAGGATCCAAGGACGTCTGTCCTATATGGTCTTGGGGAAGAAGAAAGAAGTTCCCTTCTGAAACCTGAGCAGGGCTGCTGGTGGCCCGTGGCCCGACCTGCCACAGCAGTCAAGACCCTTCTCTGGGAAGCCAGTGCCCACTGCTGTGCCCCAGAGGCGGTGAGTGTGAGATCGTAACATTTCTGACCGGAGACACTTCCTAGGTGTCTGTAGAAGCTTCTCCCAACACGTGGGGGTGGGGTGGGGAGGAGGAAGCAATCTCTCCTTGCATGTTGGACACTGAGGTCAAAGGAAGCCATCGACGGTTTGATGGGCAGTGGGGTGATGTGACCAGTGTGGCACTTTGGAAGGATCTCTGGCATAAGAGAAAGGCCGCCTCTTGTTCAGCGCCATGGGCAGCTGGGTAGGGTGTGGGTCACCGTTGATCTCTCGGCGGGGAGAAGCGGGGGGTGAAGGCTTGCTGGTGGCCTGGCTCTCTAGGTAGGAAAGGAGGTACAGGCCGGCTTGACCCACAGTTGCAGGAAGTCAGAGGGAGCAAGAAGTTTGTACAGAGTAGAGAGGACTGAAGAATGGGGGAGACGGACAGGGTGGGGTGGCCCAGTGAGTAGAGAAACCGTGCCAAGCCTGATGATCCGAGTTCAACCCCCAGGACCACCTCAGAACTGGCTCCTGCAAGGCGTCTTCAGAACACTATATGTGCATATACTCATATACACACAATAAGATGAAAATGTAAAAAAATAATAATAATAATTTTCAAGAGTGGAGAGAGCATTAATCCCAGCCCTTGAGAGGCAGAGGCGGGCGGATCTCTGTGAGTTCAAGGCCAGTCAGGTCTACAGAGTGAGTTCCAGGACAGCCAGGACTTTTCACAGAGAAACCCTGTCCCGAAAAAGGAAACAATCAAATAAACAAACAAAAAAGGGGGAGGAATCATCTGGGGCCTGTGAAACAGTGGAAGGATTCCTGGGCAGAGCTTCTGCTCCCGATGAGGCCAGGGGGAGCAGGGGTGCCTGGCCCAGTAGGTTCAGCCTGGGGCGGGGTCAAGGGTGTCCAGCATAAAAGAGACTGGAACTGACTCCAAGCTGGCGTCCCCCACCATTCCTGATTATCAGGCATCATGTCAACAAGAAGCTGGGGAGGGGGCTGGAGAGGCACAGAAGAGACAGAGACCCGCCATGACGGCTGTGCCCGCGTGGCGTCCAGTCCCGCCAGCTGGGCCTGGCAGCAGAGACCATGCAGAGGCGGATGGGGATGAGAATGGAGTGGTGGAGAGGGTGGGGACCAGCAGCCAGGCGTTGGCAAGAGCATGCTGTGCCCAGTGAGACACCAAGGGTTCTCTGAGGAGAGGAAGGGAAGGCCGGGACATCTGAAAGAATAGAAGCAGGAGGGGAGGGGTTTGCCCGGGACTGAGATGGGGGAGGTAGAGCAGAGGCTGGGCAGAACTGGATGGCTCCTTTGAAGGTGTCAGAGGGTTCCGTCCTATGAGGGGGCAGGAGGGCAGCCATAGGAACAGCAGACCGGAATGAAGCCAACGTGACAGTCACCTGCTCTCATTATGGAGTATCTAGTGTAGCCGGTCCCCATGCAAGACACTATAGAGAGAGATGAACAAAGTGTGATTCCTTCCCCCGAGGGCTTATCACCTTGTTGAGGAAACACATTAACACCCGTAGCAATATGGTGTGTTGGCTTGTGTATAAAAATGCCTAGGTACGATGACAACACACTGAGATGTCCTTACCCGGGCGGAAGCCGGTGACACTGGATGCTGACCTCAGGGACGGGTTAGGAGTTACCCAGGCAAAGGGAGGGATGAGGGTTCTCCACGAAGAGGAGAGAGTCTCAGCGACGGGCGGGATGCTCACCCCAGGATGCTGAGAGGCAAAGGAAGAAGGCTGGGGGAGGCTGGAAGAGTAGGGTCCCAGAGGACCTTGTCACTTGGTCTCGGAGCTCCGAAGAGGGTGGCAGAGGCCCAGCAGAGACTTCAGCAGGGCAGCAGCCGGCTGATCGCTGTGTTTTCGAAACGCGATTCGGACTGTAGCGTGGAGAACGGACCAGGACGAAGTGAGGACACGGACTGGGTCCCGGCTGCAGGGCGGCAGGAGGGGGGTAACAGCCCGGAGGAGGCAGGCGGGATTCAAACCCAGCTGGGCTAGATGCCTTTATCGGGAAAAGGGGTCAAGGATACTTCTTAGGTGCCACCAAACTGAGCCGGAGTAAAGAAAAGTGGGGGGAGGGGAGGGCTGCTTTTTGAGACAGACTGAGGAGCCTGAGAATAACCAGGGGCGTCTGTGGGTGAGCAGGTGCAGCCAGGGGCCAGGGCAGGGCAGGGTGGGGGTATTGCTTGGGAAGCTCCGCAGAGGGAACACCTTTGTTTGAGAAAATGCCTTTTTATGATGCTGGGGAACAAAGAGATACAGCCTAGGCAGGAGTGACACTTCAGAACCAGCAAGGCCACAAAAGTAGATAACCACCTGACTAATAAGTCACAGGGTTTGGGGGGGTGGTCTCTGAGAGGTAGACAGGCAGAAGTGAGAGAAGACAGAGAGGCAGGAAGTGAGGGAAGAACTGGAGGAAATCCCCACCCGTGACAGTAGAACTCTTCGGGCCACATGCGGCAGCTGGCGTAGTTTGAGGGACTGTACGGTGAACAGGAATTCCGATGTTCCTTTCTGTACACCCAGGACCACATCCTCGGTAAAACTGACTCTGTCCACATCTGCAGCTTGGGAGTTGGTGGAAAGAACTTCATTTCACACCTAGGTTTATGGGGTACAGAGTACACCCCACCTCTTCAGAGGAAGAGACTAGCAGATTAGGACATGGGAAACCCTGAAGCAGGACTTGGGGTTCCCAGTGATCCTGCTGTCTCTGAGCTGACACTGGGGACCTGACTGGGGATCCCAAGTCTCCGGGTCTCAGGCTAGACTTCTTTGGGCAGCCACTGTTAGGCTGTCCTGGGAGGTTCCAGCTCAGTGCCCAGCATCACCCCCTTACTGGCCTGGCCCCCCTGTCAGGTGAGCAGGCACGTGAGCACTGCCCTCTGTACCTCCCACCCCCAGACACGCATAATGCCATCAGCAGGCTCCCCATCAGCCTGAGCAGCTCGCTCCTGAGGACCGCAGTGTGCGGGAGGCAGTGTAGCCAGGCTGGGGGCACCATCACAGAGAGTGAGGCCAGTGAGTCCGGCAGGGGACAAGAGACCGAGAGAGTCACGGAGGAGCAAGAACGGCAGACCTGACGCCAAGGAGACGAGACATGGAGCCAGGGCTGTGTTGCAGGGCTTACCTCCTGGCTGGCAGGCTTTGGACCGCCATCAGCAAGGCGCTGTTTGCTGAGTTCCTGGCCACAGGGCTATACGTGTTCTTTGGTGTGGGCTCGGTCCTGCCCTGGCCTGTGGCCCTTCCCTCTGTGCTGCAGATCGCCATCACCTTCAACCTGGCCACGGCCACAGCTGTGCAGGTCTCCTGGAAGACCAGCGGGGCCCACGCCAACCCCGCTGTGACACTGGCTTACCTCGTGGGATCTCATATCTCTCTGCCTCGGGCTATGGCCTATATAGCCGCCCAGCTGGCGGGGGCCACCGTCGGGGCCGCTCTTCTTTACGGGGTAACTCCAGGAGGTGTCCGAGAGACCCTTGGAGTCAACGTGGTAGGTGCAAAGAGGCCTGGGCACGTGGCAGGTGATAGGGCACGGGAGAGAGTCAGGTGGTCAGGGTGGGAGGCCAGACAGGAGCAAAGGCAGGGAAGGGGAAATAATGCAGCCGCGCACTCCTTAGCTGCCCCGAGCAGGCCCCTGGGTTCCAGAACGGGCTTAGGCATTCATCTAGGCAGGACAGGAATGGAACTGTGGGGTGATGCGTGCATGGGGCAGAGAAAGACCACAGGGAGGGGGGGGGAGTCAGGAGGACCAGGCAGCTAAGGGCTGTACAGCAGGTGGCGGCGGGGCTGGGACTGAGGGAGAGCGAGAGGCCCTAGCCGGAACTGCTTCCCTTGCGGTGTGTCCTTGCTCTGCCGTTTGCCCGGTTTCCTGGGGCCTGCTTCCCTCCCCTAAACATCTCTGCTCTACCTACTCTGCTGCCCACAGGCCTCCTCCATTCTGTCCTCAAGCCTTCTCTCTTCTTACTGCTGTGTCAACCCCTGAACCACAGACCTGACTCGGTGGCAGAGTGGGGGAGGTACCTTCCACGGGGAACAGGCAGCCGGATATGATATGAGCCGGCGGCGGTGGCGGCGGCACAGACCTTAGGTTCTGATGCTGTGAGTGCCACCCCTCACGGCTGAGAAGACTGATACAGGGACTCTCACTGTCCCGTGGCCAGCGCCCATGTCCACTCTGGCGTACTCTTCTCTCCCAAGGTCCACAACAGCACGTCAACCGGCCAGGCGGTGGCCGTGGAGTTGATTCTGACACTGCAGCTGGTGCTCTGTGTCTTCGCTTCCACGGACAGTCGGCAGACCTTGGGCTCCCCAGCTGCCATGATTGGGACCTCTGTGGCACTGGGCCACCTCATTGGGGTAAGGGACAAAGAAGGACACCATGCATGTGCACATACTGGAGCCCTCCCTGCAGAAGCTACAGAACCCTAAAGGCCAGGAAGTGTCTTGTGGCCTGAGGTAGTGCCTGTAATACGGGGCTAGTCGAGGGGGTGTCTGAGCCAGGGCAGAGGGGAATGTTCTCCCCCAGGCTGCCTCAAATCTCCTCACACTTGAACCTGAACTTCTGCCCCAGATCTACTTCACTGGCTGTTCCATGAACCCAGCTCGCTCCTTCGGTCCTGCCGTCATTGTTGGGAAGTTCGCGGTCCACTGGGTGAGACCCTGCACTGGTAGGCTTGGGGGTGTGGAGGACTAGGCAGGAGGAAAGTTAGGGGGTTTTACCATCAGGAAACCCACACGGTGTAGAATCAACCCTCTTGTCACCAGGTCATTTAGACCACCCAGGAGTGCAGATTTCCCTGCATTCATAAAGTCAAGGTGAGCATCCTGGCTTGTCTGTCTTTCGGCTCCAATATCCTGCAGTATCCAGGGACTCAGAAGAAATGGGCCAGGGCAGAAGCTGTAGCCTTGGCTCAGGCTTTATGTTCTGGCTCTTTCCTTCTTCACTTTCTCCAGCTGGACCAATTTTCAAACTTGAATAAAGAAAAAGACAAACAGAAATAGACCACACAGAAGCAGAGATAGAAACAGCAACAGTCAGGGCTAAAACAGGAGAGGTGAGAGGAAGAGGCAGCCGTGGGAGAGGACTGGAGCCCAGCTTTAGCTTTGGCTGCACCCTCCAGGGAAGGCAAGGCCCTCACCCCTGGACTCACAGTTCCCACCCCTGTAGGCACTGAGAGTCCCTGGGGCTGGGGTTGGGGACCAGCCAGGGCTGAGGGAAGCAGGCAGGGTTCTAAAATCGCCCTGTGCTTCTGTCTCCTCAGATCTTCTGGGTGGGACCCCTCACAGGGGCTGTCCTGGCTTCGCTGATCTACAACTTTATCCTGTTCCCTGACACCAAGACGGTAGCCCAGAGACTGGCCATCCTCGTGGGCACCACCAAGGTGGAGAAAGTGGTGGATGTGGAACCCCAGAAGAAAGAATCCCAAACGAACTCAGAGGACACAGAAGTGAGCGTGTGACACTGCACAGCCCCTGGTCCCTCGGGCTTCTGGGGCGGCTTGCCTTGTATGACCTGGCTTGAGGTGTCCCTGGTGTTAGGGGGAACCGGGAGGCTTGGCCACTTGTTATAACAGTAGGCACCAATCTCTGTCCCCGACAAAAATGTCGTTTCTTTTCCTCTCCTGGTTTTCTTTCCTGAGATCCACCTCCCGGGCCAACCTCGTGTTCACAGTCTTCCTGCTTTGGCCTATGATATAGCTGGGACTTAGGCACAGCACCGTGGCTGACTTCTACATTAATAGACAGAAAGAATATGGAAGTAAATCCATCCAGTTAGTTCTCCAAGGTCTTCCTTGCTTTTTCTTTTTCTTTCTTTCGGTGTTTAAAATTTTCCATACAAAGTAATGCGTACATTGCGTCCTTTTCATTCATACTTTGCTTTTGTTGACCTCTTCCTGGATCCCCCCTCTTGGACACTTCCTGCCGGTCCCCTCCTCCCCCACACCCCATCCCCTCCTCCCCCATCCCCTCTTCCCCCCAGTCCCCTCCCCCCATATCCTCTTCCCCCTCCAGTCCCCTCCACCTCCCCCTGTCCCCTCCTCCCCCATCCCCTCCACCCCCTGTCCCCTCCAGTCCCCTCCACCTCCCCCTGTCCCCTCCACCCCCCCACTTCTCCTTTCGTGGCATGTGTCTTCCTCCCCTGCTCCCCAGTCCCCCCACACACACCTGTAACACCTTCTTCTCCTCTACTGATCCTCTTTCCAGTTCTTTATGACAAGAGTGAGGGCCACAGAAGCCATGCAGCAGGACCCCAGTGGTGTCCCGGGCCTCTGGATCCCTGTCTTGGGGAAAGGGGAATTGGGGTGCAGCTAGCCATTCTATTTGGACTCTGATGAGGGAGCTTCAGGAAGCTCCCAAACTTTTCCACTGAGGTAAAGAGAGGAACACCAGTCTTTGGGACAGCCTCGGTTTCTCATAGGGTTTCTTTGCTCTAGGTATGATTTGGGGGTCCATTAGACTGGGGTTTCCTGGGGACAGAAATCATTCTTCTAAAAGGACTTCATTCCTACTTCCCAAATGCTCAGGAAGGTCCCTACCCTGGGACAAGCTGCCCCAGAGGAACCTTCTCAGGGGTTAGAAAAGCAGCATTGTTAGGAAGGGAGCTCTGGAACAGATGGCCTTCCCCTGGGGCCCCTCAGTGAAGACACAGGAAAACCTCTACCTGCTGCATCCAGTCTATAACCTGGGCCAGAAGTCTCTCCAGTCTGCTGCTCAGCATCAGAGGCCCCAAAGAAGCTGTTGAATAAGTCCTCCTAAATGATGAGACCACGGAATGACCCAGAAAATCGAGATTAGAGGTTTAGTGTCTCTAAAAGACCCTGGGAGTTGAATTGATTTTGCTAGATGTTAAAGGCTGCTGTACGTCTACTCTGCCTCTAATGGGGGGCTGTGGGGTGGTGGGGGATCCTGTCTGGATTCCAGCTTATCCACTGTAAAATGGGAACACTCCTCCCACAGATAGTGCTGTGGCAACAATGAGTTAGAAGATGCTTTGGGGAGTTAAATGCTCGTAGAACAACCCCAATAAATGATGATTATTGTTGCAGTTACTGTAATTATTGGGTTTGAATACAATTGCCGTTGGTAATGGGAAGGAAGAGGGAAGGGGGATGATGGAGAGGGAGGGGGAGAAAGCAGGTTCTGCTGTCCTTCACTGGGTTGGCTTATGGGGGCCTGCCCCTTCTCTCTGAGGTCTACTGACCCCGGAGCTTTGTGGGGGTGGAGTTAGGGAGGGACCCTGGAAAGAAGAGATAAGCCAATTCAAGTCAGTTCTCATCTCTATGGCACCCATCACCATGGTACCCTGAGATGCTGCAGCCAAATCTATTAAAAAAAAAAAAAAAAGAAAGAAAGAAAGAAAGAAAGAAAAGGAAAAAAAAAAGAAAGAAAACGAGATAAGTGATAAGCACTTGTCTTCCAATGGACCGGATGAGGGAGGGGCTGCCGAAGTCTTTCACAGGCAGGGCGATGGATAGACCTGTGACCACTGCAGTGGCTGGAGTCCGTGGCCCAGCATCCGTCCTCTGCGTTCTGCAGTCTCATTGATGCCGAGTACTGTCCACATCTCTCCAAGCCGAGCCCTCTTCAGCCATCTTCACAATCCTGAAGCCCCAGGGCCTCTTCTGCCCTTTTACAAACAGGGGCGCGTGCATGCGTGTGCGTGTGCGTGTGTGTGTGTGTTCACCTGTGTACAAGTGTGTGAACTGAGGACATGATCGACTTGCCAAAGGTCACTTGACTCTATCGCAAAGATCCCTAAGGTCTCTCCAGCTCGGAGGGAAGGGGCAGGGCTCTGAGAGGGTTGTGGCAGGGAGGAGCTCCTGCAGGGGGCTTTTAAGCCTCTTGACAAATTATCTCTGTGCCCAGAGAGCCGAGCACACACTGGGTGCTCAATAAAAGTTTGATGAATGAATGACTGAGGCTGGGCGGCTGGGGAGGGAGAGGAGGCAGTAATTGATCAAGAGGAGGAAAATTCAGAACTTGCAGCTCCAAATGAGCCAAAATGACAGCAGCTGAGAAGCCTCTGCCTCCACGCAGGGGCTGGGAAGAGGGCGGCAGCCAGAGTTCGTGTCTCCACCCACCACTCTGGAGCAGCACCGGCAATCCCAGAACCTCAGTGTGGGAGGCTCAGAGGTCCTCGTGCGTGCGTGCGTGCGTGCGTGCGTGAGCACGGATAAGTGTTAGGGGAGCCAGGGGCGCTAAACACACAGGTCTGTTCCTTCAAAGGGAGGGATGCTTAACCTGTTTTCTGCCCAGAGGGCTGCGAGTGGAAGTGATTAACAGCCTGGTGACCTTTGCACTGCGGTGCAGCCTGTGAGACCACACCAGACCCCCACCCCCACCCGACCCTTATCGTGAACTTGTCAGTCTACAGAACCCATCTTTATGGAAAGTGTCACACGTCCTTTACCAAGAATTTCAATGTAGTCATGTCTTAACCTCTAGTGTGCACACAGGGTTGACTTAATTATCACCAGGAAAATTTTCACCAAATTGTGCTGTGCTTAAATGTGCCTAAAATAAACTACTTGGCGCCAGACTCCCAAAGTTTGAACCAACGCTGACTACTTTGTCATGTCTACCCGAACTGCCTTCTCGCCTCCCTCAGATTGTTCCTCTGCTGGCCACCGTGGTAGAAGAGATTCCCAAATTTAGGGACCCAAAAGAGCAAGGGGGTGGCTTGACAGAAAGCTGGGAACCATCTTCACTGATAGTCCCTCAGCAGCCCTTCTGTAGAGAAGGACTCGAGCAAGAGATAGCCTTCCCGAGAAACGAGGAATCAGTAATTAGGTTAAAGCTGACGAGCGCTCAAGGTCGGACGGAATAAGTAAGCAAAGGTTAGCCTCTCTGGAGACTCCGCCAGGACAGCAGGCCATCTGTTTAGACGAGGGAAGAGCTGGCCTTGGGCACTCCAGCTCTCAGCACTTCCAGTTGGGGAAGCAGGCTTCACCACCACAGTCCCCAGGGCTGGTTGGGGACAAGGGGTCTGAGGAGGACAGAGAGCCACCAGGCAGGCCTTTGGTGTGCACCCCCTGGTTCTCATTTGTCAGGGGAAGTTTTTAATTAATGGTGTGTAATCTGATCTGGCCCTTCTTCCCGCTGAGTACTGCTTTCAATCAGTGGGACCATCTGCACCGGCAATTCATAATTCTCTCGGAGGGGAGGGGGACTCAGGATGGGTGCCTTGGTGATTAATACAATTAGCCTTTTATGTTGATGATTGTCTTAGCAGGAGCAGATGATATGAGCCCAGAGCCTAGGCAGTTATTTCCGATTGGCTGGCAGGAAGCCCCTCGCCTCCCCAACCCCCTCCGCCACCCCCACCCCAACTGTTGGTCTTTAACTCGCCACCTCCAGGTATAAAGAGGACAGGCCTCATCTGACACCATACTGTGCAATCAGCAAAGCCCAGAGGGGGCCAGGCTCGGGGACACATTTGGTCCTCAGGTCTAAGGGAAAATGGGGACGGAACCAGAAAGTCACTTTGGCTTCAGGGATTCTTGTGCCAAGGCTGAAGAAAAAGACAGGGTTGGAGGGTAGCTCAGCCGGCCGAGTGCTTGCCTAGCGTGCACAAGGTCCTGGGTTGACCTCCAGCACCACATAAACATGGTGTGGCGGCAGATAACTGTGTCCTAGCACTCAGGAGGGGGGTACAGGAGGGTCAGAAGGTTGGCTTAAGACAGGATCTTTCTTGAATCCTTGGCCTCCCAAGGGGACTGTAGGCTCTTGAACTCTGGCTCATGGACACATTTCCCCACCTGGAAAATTCAGCAGTGGAGAGGCCTCGAGGATGGCTGTCTGAGACCTGGTCTTACCACATCTGACACAGTCAGATGCCATCTCACCTGCGTGAGCAAGGCTGCTTCCCAAGTGGTGCCTGGCAAAGCCAGGGCTGTGGCTAAGGAAGGCCTTGCCTCCTGTCCATACCCTGAGCTTAGCTGAGCCTTGGAGGGTGTGTGTGTGTGTGTGGTGTGTGTGTGTGTGTGTGTGTGTGTGTGTGTGTGTGTGTGTGTGTGTGTGTTTGGTGTGTGTGTGTGTGTGGTGTGTGTGTGTGTGTGTGTGTGTGTGTGTGTGTGTGTGTGGTGTGTGTGTGTGTGTGTGTGTGTGTGTGTGTGTGTGTGGTGTGTGTGTGTGTTCCTGGAAGTGAGGTGGACTCCAAAGGAAAGGTAAAAAGTCACACACAAGAAAAGAAATAAAATAATAATGGCCTCCGAGCAGAGAAATGGAACACTGTAGTGTCGTAGCTGGGAAAAGCAGCCCGGAGGAGCTTCGAGACTTGAGGAGGCTGAGCTGAACAGAGGCCAAGTGAAAAGGAGAGCTTTGAGGATCTGGAACTTCATGGGAAGGCAAACAACAGAGTCAAATGTGGTGGTGTGCACCTGTAGTCCCAGTACTCCAGTGACTGAGGCAGGAGGATATCCATGAGCTCCAGGCCAGCCTGAGCTATTCTAACCATGTCTCAGCTACACACACACTCTCAGGACACATTGTTCCTGGGCTGCTTGGTGACCCGGAGGAACCAGAGGTAAAATGGGACGCACTGAGGACATAAGGGAGGAGGGCTGGTTACACCGTGGATACCAGGTCGGCACAGCCCCCACACATGCCCGCCGTAGGGAACCCCAGGCCTGCGCGTGAACCGGCAAGGCCCGGACAGACTCCAAGCATTGAGAGTGCTTACAGCTGCCATCGAGACTCCAGGGGAGGTGAGGACTGTGAGACGCTCTGAGAGCACAGGAGCGCCCCCCACCAAAGACCCCAGAGCCTAGTCCTCTGTACCCACAGGGTTCTCTGAACTGGCTAGCAATCCTAGTTCCTCATAGCCTGTGGGTAGCCTGAGCCAGCCTCCAGGATAGCCTACAGCTGGCTGCAGATACACCCAATCTCTGAACCCACATCAACTATACTTAAAGTCAGCTTGGGGCCTCAGCAG